CATGACTTGGTAATGTCTTCAGTTATATGGTAAAATTAGGACTTGCTATGGGTAAATACTATATGATGAATAAATCCACCTTCTTATCTAATATTATTTGAAAATATGTATTTAAATTGTTTTTTTAATTTATCATGTGCATATTCATAAGCACACTCGAGTGCTTATGAATATTCTTGCATGTGTATACACCATGCAAGAACTACTTGCTCCAAACCATGAATTGAGCTTTTCTTCTTTGTCAGAACTGGGGCTGAGCCTGTACACCAGGTGAGCAAGTACTCCACCAGTAACCTTCATCTCTGGTCCACAAATTGACCTCTCTTGACCAGCCATCAACAGTGGCCTAACCTGAGTCTAGACAATGCTGGGAAGGAACTAACCCAGGTGCTTGTATGGCTTGGCAGCTGTCAACAGGAAAAATAGGGCCAGGGAAGAGAGGTAGCTTGAACAGCTGGTGGAACCAGACTCAGGGAAGGGAGGAGCTGAATGACATCATCATCCCATGAATGTCTTATCAGGTGTTAAACCCTTCCAAGCTCAGCTTGGAAGATTACTTCTGGCCTCCCACATAATAGGCATTCATAAATCTATGCATTTTCGGGTTACTCAGGAAGACCAGGATTGAACTTAGCTGGAAGTCAGCCTGGCCTTAAGATGCTACCCCCTTCCCCAAAGTACTTACTGACTGGATAGATAATCCCAGAGCCTGAAATTCCCCTCTATTCACTCTTACATCATTCTCCAATCATCCTCAAAATGTTGCTTATAATGTCATTTGGGCTTCTGAGAGTAAATGATTCAGTTATGTTATACGGCACATTTGTACATATCTAAATGTACAGTGAGAAGCATTCATTTTTAATTTTTATATTAAATACCTGACTTGGGACTATTGTTTCAGCATCTTACTTTTCATCCATTTCCCTAATTATTTGGACAAAGTTGTAATTATGCCATTCACAGATGTTTATTTTCAGGATTTTTTCATGAAAAATATTAAGAACACCTTTTTTAGAATGCTATACTATCTTTATTAAACACTACTTCAGGTAACTAACCAAATCATAATTGGCTGTATTCAATTGTTAGATGTACTAAGCCATTCTCTTCTTGTCACCCCCTCCTCTCAAAAAATAAAAATTAAAAAAAAGAATAATAAAGGCTAAAAAGTTTACATAAGTACAAAACTAGGTAAGAATGTTTGCAGGGACCCGGGATGATGGCTTATGCCTGTAATTCCAGCACTTGAGAAATGGAGGCGGGAGGATTGTCCCGAGTTCCAAGCATACCTGGGCTACAGAGTGAGAGACCTTTTCTCCAAAAAATAAACAGAAAACATCAAAGAGGTAACTTCTGTAGTTCTTTTCCTGTGGCCCAAGTGCTACTGTGGCAATAGGTAATAGGCAGAAGACCAGCCCATCCATACACAGTAGCAAGAGTATTTCCCTCGGCATCAAGCCATTGATGTGTTTATTAAGAACAGCAGGGTGATACACAACTCGAGACCTGCATCCGAAGAGTAAGTACAGAAATGGTGGCTGCACCAGTCCACTTTGAGCTTTGTCATGTATCACAGATGTCACATCAAGGACCCAGTCAACTTTTGTCTTGATGTTTAAATAAAAGCCAATCACATTTTACAGTTTTCTGGACTTACTACTTACTTTAAAATTAGGGCCCTTTATCTCCTCATGGTTATTTTCTGCTTTTCATTTCTTCAGTTGCTAGATGACCCAACCATGGCTCTTGAGAATTTTCTCTGTATTGGTTCAGCAAGGACAGGCAGGTTCTGCCTCCAAGGGTTTCTGGGCTATGGTCTTTTTTTAACATCATAGCTACCTCACCATTTTCTAACAGTTCACCTAAACTAGAATCAGCCACTCAAATCTAGTCAGTCACCCAGTGTGTCACCCCAGGGTAGGGCTGAGACTTTCTGGAGACAAAAATGGCAGATGAATACTTGGGACAACAAGCCACTAGCCTAGCAGCCACACACACTAGACACCACTGTCCAAAATACTTTGTTGGGCATGGGAAAAACAATAAAAAGAAAACTTTTTGGACTTATTCTTAAAGAGCTGCCAATACTGTTTAGGAGTCGAGTAAGTGTGTCATGATCAAACTGTAGTAATCGGTAGTATAGCTGAAGTTTTCTCTGGTCCTGCCCAGCCCCACGAACCCTGTAACTGCTTATAAAATAAACTGTCCAGGGAGCAGCATGTAATGGCACACAGGTAAAGCCACAGAACACGTGGCAACATATAGATTAACAAAAATGGGCTGAGTTTAAATGTAAGAGCTAGTCAGTGGTAGGCCTGAGCTAATGGTGGAACAGTTTTTATTAATATAAGCTTCTGAGTGATTATTTTATAAGCAGCTGCAGGATCCATTCTGCAGTTACAGGTAGAAAGATGCCTTATACACTCTTAGAATACAGGGATGGGTCTTGATTCGTTTGTTTATTTGTCTTGTTTTTTTATTGTGTGGCCCTGACTATCCTGGAACTCAGTCTGTAGACCAGGCTGGCCTCGAACTCAGAGAGGTCCACGAGCCTCTGCCTCCTGAGTGCTGGGAGTAAAGGTGTGTGCCATCACTGACCAGTAGGGATGGATCTTGAAAGCAGAATGGGAAAGATCTTGTTAGAATAGTTTTGCATTCAACAAGGAACTGTTGTCTGCTCAGGGGAACGCCCTAAAAAAATGTGTGATACTTCTAGCTCCCTAGATATTTGCAATCCAGTTGAGGAGGCAGGAGATCATGAGGTTAAGGCTGAAATATAAAGTATTGTTTTCTTTAATTATATGGGAACGAAAAGACAAAGAAGGTGGAAATTGAGGGGAAAGAAGGTGGAAATTGAGGGTAAAGAAGGAAATGAAAACAGTGACAATAGAGTTTAGAAGGCAGTTTTGATTGGGTTTAAACATAGGGATTGGAGAGACCACTGAACAGTAAAGAGTCTGGCTGCTTTTCCCAGAGGACCCTGCTTCGATTCCCAGCACCCACATGGCAGCTTACACCATCTCTAACTCCAGTTCCAGGGAATCTGACTCCTGACCTCCTTGAGCACCAGACATGCATACAGTGCACTGACATACATTCAGGCAAAATACTTCTACCTCTCTGACCCCCTATACATACAAAGGAGTCAGAGCCTTGTTGGAATAGACAAAGGCTAATTGGACTCTGTGAAGAGCAAGGTCAAAAATCTATGAAGATGGCAATTTGTTGAGAGACCTAGGGTGCTAGATTAATAGCTTTGACCTTTATTCCTTCCTTCAGGCAGTTGTCAAAAAGCTTCAGAGCCAGGGAATGACATCATGAAAATAGGAGGCCAGAGAAACCAGTTAGGAGGCTGCTGGGAATGTGTTGAGATAAGGTCTTGTTGTGGAAGTGTGAATGGAAGGACAGATTTGAGCAGGCCAGGAGAAAGGATCGATAGCATTTACTTCTGATTGGATGTAAACAGACAGGGACCGGGGGTGGGATGACCCGGGAACAGCTTCCTTAGGAAGTGTGTTGGGGGAGGGTTTGGTGACTGACTTCTGGTGGAAAGTAGAGAGCAAGATGGACATACCAGCAGGAGTGTGCTCTCAGCTGATTATCCTATAAAAACTGTGGAGTTTCTCCAGAAGTCGGGCAGAAGACATCACAGTGATTTCATAGGGCATTAGGAAGCAGCCGTGCCCAGCTTGCACAGGATGCAGAGGGGAACGATGTGGGCGGGAAAGAGCATACTGTTCAGGGCTGACCCATGCAGTTTTGGTTTTGCTTGTTTAATTTCATGTTTTCATTGTATCTGTTTGGACAAAATACTTTAAAACCGATTGGGCCGGTTTTCTTATCTATAAAATGAGAATTTCTTTTCTTTTCTTTTCTTTTTTTTTTTTTTTTTTTTTTTTTTTTTTTTTTTTTTTTTTGCGTACTGGCTCTTGCATCGGCCTTTATGAGACTTAAATCACAGCCAGTATTCAAGGTTTGTATCAACTTTTCTTGCCACTTTGCCCGAGGGCTAGTTTGCTCCTATACCCAGTCCCCAGCACCAAAACCAAACAAACACTTTTCATTTTCTTAGTCTAGAATATGCATTCTGCATACTAACTCTACATTTCAAGGCAGAAAAACCCATCTTATTTGCATACAGTTCTGCACTCTGGTCTAGCCCTGGTTCTGTTGGCTTTACTGGTGCTTACTATTGGCTCTGCACTCACCTAGTGAGGTGGCAGGAGCCTGGGGTCGGTTTTAAAGCTGGACTTCTCTCTCCTTCCATCCAGCCTCTTCTCTCACTCTCTCTCAAATGATATTTATTTTTATTCTATGTGGGTGAGTGATTACCTGTAAGTATGCATGTATATGTACTGCATGCATGCCCCACGTCCATGGAGGCCAGAAGAGGGTGTCAGATTCCTAAAATTAGAATTATAGATGGCTGTGAACTGCCACGAAAGTGCTGGGAACTGAACTCAGGTCCTGCCTCTGCAAGAGCAGCAAGTACTCTCAACTGCTGAACTATCTCTCCAGGCCCTACTATTATTTTTAGATAAAGTCTTGGCAAGTTTCCTAGGCTCACATTGACCTTGCTCTGCATCCTAGGAAGGCCTTGATTTTGCAATCCTCCTCCTTCAGGCTCTGATTAGCTAGGGCTAGAAACTTGCACCAGTGCGCTTCTCTGCCAAGTGGGTTTCCTACAGGGCGGTTGGACTTCTCTTGAGGTGCAAATCTGTTGAAGGTGCAAAGGCCTGCCTAGGGGAAGGTTTTGGTTGGGAGGCACTGATGTAGCTTCACTCTTTTGTTAAGTTAAATCTGTGGCCCTGCCATATTTAAGTGGACAGGATTACTCAAAGGGAGGACTAAAGGAGGGTGGCCCACTGGCTTCAACATGTGGTCACAACTTTTGTGTGAGTTAGGGAGGTTAAATTACTTGTCCTTTGAAGGAAGGTGGAGCCAAGTACTTCAAAGCTTCTATTCTTTTTTTTTTTTTCTTCTTCTCTTTTTTTATTAAGCAGAAAGCAAGAACACAGTACCCCACTGCACAAATTATGCAGTCGAGTTTCTCACATTTGGGGCAAATCGTGGGGGTCAGAACATCCAGAGTGCAATGAATAGGCCTCCTTCTGGGAAAACCACCTTCGTGTTCATGGTATCTCCCCTGCTTGTGTTCTCTGGGTCAAGACACAAAATGTGTTAATTACTTTAATTAAAAATGTTGCTTTTATTGTGGTTCGAGCCGGTCTCATTCTGTAACCCAGACTAGCCTAGAAGTTTTGCCAATCCACTGCCTCAGCCTCCCAAGCGTTGGGATTAGAGGAGTGAGTCACTGTTCCTGCGGGATCTCTTTTATTTTTAGACAGTTTCGTGAAGCCCAGACAACTCATGACACGGCTGAAGATGACCTTTAACTTCTGACTTTCCCACCTCCGCCTCTCTAGTCCTCGGACTACAGGTCTGTCCTGCTAAGCTGGGCTTATGTGGTAGTGGGGTGCTGAGGTGGAGGCAAGTACGCGACCGAGGCACAACTTCAAGCTTTGCTTATGCTTTGCTATTTGAGAGTTTTACACTTGCATATGATGTGCTTTGATCAAATCTCCCCCCATTCCCTCATCTCCAATTCCTTTTCTTTCCCTCCCAACTTCCCGTGCTCTTCTTTTAGACCCACTGTTTCCACATTGTGCTGCCTGTATGGACATGGGTGTGGGACTGACTATCCACTAAAACTCTGTAGGTACCACATCCATGAAGAAAACTGTCTCTTCCTTCCCCTGAGGCATCAACTGTCAATAGCTCTTCAGCTAGGGATAAGACTTCATGAGCCCTTCTTTCAACCATGCATGGATTTGGGCTGGCTTGCTCTTGTGCCATGCCTGGCTCTAAATGTGGAGTTTTGTGAAGCAGGTACTATTATTTTCCTGAAACTACCAGGAAGAAAACAAAGGACTAGAGTGTGTGTCTGAGGCGAGTTGGGTAACTGAAGTAATTATACTTTTTTTTTCTTTTAGACAGGGTCTTATTATGTAGCCCTGTCTGTCCTGAAACTCACAATGTAGACCAGGCTGACCTTGAATTCATAAAGATCCACCCGTCTCTGCCTCCTAAGTGCTGGGATTAAAGGTATGTGCACCCCTAGGCCCAGCCAAAAGAAGTAGACTGTCTTAGGGTTTCTCCTGCTGTGATAAACACCATGACCAAAGTCAACTTGGGGAAGAAAGGATTTATTTCACCTTACAACTTGTAGTTCATTATCCAAGGAAGACAGGGTGGGAACTCAAGGCGGGAACCTGGAGGCAGGAACTGATGAAGAGGCCCTGGAGGGGTGCTGCTTCTTGGCTTGCTCCTCATGCTACGCTCAGTTGGTGTCTTAGCAATCGGGATCATGGATCTAGGAGTGGCACTGTCTGCAGTGAGCTGGGCCCTTCCAGATCAAGCATCCATCAAGAAAATGCATCACAGTCTTGCCCTCAGGCCAATCTGGTGGGGCATTTTCTCGGTTGAGGTTCCCTCTTCCAAAGTAACTCTAGATTGTGTCAAGTTTAAAAAAAAAAAAAAATCAAGAAACCAGCCAGCACATCAACAACACCATGTTACCCTTTATAGGTAGTGGACCTGATAGTTGTCATTTAAGCTATTATTGTGACAGGTTCTCCTGCCTTAGCTGTCCCAGCGTTTGGACTACAATTCATGCCACTGTGCCTGCCTTAAAATGATAATCTATCTGCTTATGAATGGGACACTCTGGAGTTAGCAACCATTTCAGACATTTAGGACGGTGTTCGCTGCTGTCTGTTTCTTGAGGCTTGGCAAGGAATAAAGGTTGCATCCTTGCTTAACCAATCATAAACTGGATTCACCCCTTTCTGAGATAAGAACCTTCTTGGAGGAGCTGGAAGGATGGCTTAGTGGTTAAGGGCACCGAGTGCTCTTCCAGAAGTTCAGTTCCCAGCACCCACATGGCAGCTCACAACTGTCTGAAACTCCAGTTCCAGGGGATCTGACACCCATGGCAAAACACCAAAGCACATAAAATAATAATAATAATAATAATAATAATAATAATAATAATAAATTAAAAAAAGAAAAGAACCTTCCTGGAATGGGACTGGCCTCCAACATCATCCCATCAGCCCTGCAGCTTCTGAGTTAGCAACCTTCCCATCCCAGGCACACTTCCTCCAGTCCGACATTTAACTCCTTCCCTTTTGCGAAAGTTCTGCTTCTGGTGGAGGGAGCCTCAGTGGCTTTCCTCCTTCCTCTCAGTCCTAAGGGTGGAGAGAGGACTTGCTACCTGGTGGAGAACAACAGTTTCGGATGCCCAGAGGCAGCCAACCACCCCTGCTCACCTTGGGAGGCTATCCGGGTGCTTCTTAAACTCCGGGTTGTGATCTCATATGGGTTTCGTAATTTTTTTTTTTTTTTTTTTTGGTTTTTTCGAGACAGGGTTT